CGGTGCTTGCTCTTAACGAGTGCTTCGTCAGTGGAGCGAGGTCATGAGGGGAAAGAAACTGAGGTAGGTAAAGTATCGATTGGACTAGTTAGTTTTTCAACGTTGTGGTCGTAAGCCACAGAGTTACTGCAAGGTAGACTACATCCAACGACAGTTTTCGGTGCTACGAACAGTTTTGACATATATTATGTTCATACAATGGACTTCAACTCTAATCACAACAGAAAGTTCTATCACATGTTTGCGCCCACTGGTTATGTAAGCCCAGTCTTCAGGCTCGCCGGAGATGTTCAAGGAGAAGAGAGGAAAAACATATCAGTGCGAATATCAACATTTTCAGTCGGATTACATTGGTCACATCAGAACCCAAAATACTCAAAGTTATGTAAGCAAAACAAACGTAGGTGATAATTGACACACAGAAAAGTTGGTAGAAGAAGCTAGAACTGTGAGCATGGCCAAGTTCTTTGGGGTACAATTTCTTGAATGAACACAGATCTGTGGCTAAGAAAACAAGTGTGCTTTATCAAAAATAACAAATAATCCGTGTAGGTTCAGTTGGTTGAGAATAGTTAAGAAGTAAACGGCAGGTGTGAACACACAGAATTGGTTTATGTAGGTGGAAAGCACTGGTGATATGGTACCAGTGAACGGTACGATATCCAGGTTGGAAGTACTAGGTTCCAGATGTGTATTTATTTACGTAGTAGAGAAGACGATTTCTAGTTGATAAAGCGAACATCCACTGAATGCTGTTAAACCAAATTTGTTTGATGAACGCGACGAATTTACCACATTTAATGCGAGAGTTCACAATTTTTCCTAAAGTGTTTATCTCTGCGACAACATCGTCAATGTCCAGACGGCATTTGTGCCTTGTTCTCCATACACCTCATTCGAGATGTCTTCGATTTTCCATGATGAAGCGAAATCAACTTGAAACAAATGAAATGGTCATTTTGCTGATGGGCCTTGGCCTCAGTGCTAGCCATCATCCGGTGCGATGTATCATGATGACCTTGACTTTCGCTTCTCAATTGTTCGAAGCGACTCTTCGGGAAAAGGCCACAAAGAGAAGTTCGGATGTCATACACAAAAATGCCAATGAATTTAAAACAGACAGCATTTGACACCTAGAATTTGATGAATTTGATCTCACGGTTGAAATTAGCCAAAATTCACTGTGAGTTTGACAAATTATTCTAACTAGGTGATTTTAATTTCAATATTCAGTCACTTCATTGAAGCTTCTACTTAACGTGGATTGTGAAGTATGTTATTTTTGTGATGAATTACATTTCAGATGGATCGTGTATACGAGCGTGTGACGGGAGAACCGAGTGAGAAACATTTTGAAGCGCAAGTTGTGCTAGGGACCGAAATGTATTTTGAAGCCCACGTGAAACCTGTGGGTGAAATCAAAGAATTTTTCTGGACGCAAAAAACGAAATACGAGATGCCGTTCTGGAACTGGGATCACAAACTATTCGTACGTAGTTCAGTGGATGTGTTTGATTAGTGAACGACAAGTGGAAGCTGCGTCAAACATAATAATTGGATATATGTTTGCTTAGGTTTCATCATACACATAGCGAGTCGGGTTTATTTCATGTGAAGGGAAATACAACGGACAATAAGTGGATACCCGCGTGTGGTGACAGTAAAGAGGAACTTGAAATGATCGATTGGCATGAGGTCAAATTTGAAACTGGAAGTGAATAGCGTGGTGCGTGAATCTCGAGTAATTAGTTCGGCGTAGGATAGGCATTCACATACACATGCTGCTGTAAAAGTGCAAATTCGGGAATAACTGCTGCAAACGCGTCAGATTTACTCAACTTGGTTGTCTAATTTTCTATATTTAGTCACTTTATTGAAGCATCTACGCAACTTGCGTTGAACTGGAATATTGAAAGACGGCATCAATAGCAAGATGCTTATATGTGTATTACTATCTACCTTGTGGTTCCGTAGATAATTTGGCTTCCTTTGACCGGATAGATCCCGGGTTCAATCCTGAGTGTGGTCGATGGATTCATTCTGCTGTTAAGACTTGATGTACGGAGTTTTTTGTGTTTACGCTCATAATTCATTTACTCTGTACATGAGGATATTCACAATTTAATGTAATCCTCAACTACACTGATATCCGTGTATACTTCACCCTTCCATTGTATTCTGTTTTCTCTCAAGAACAAAAAGGATTCGGTAAGTACTCAACATTGCTTTTTCGTTTGCATATATTTCACCGTGTCATGCGATACATCGTCATTACCTTTGAGGAAATGTGTGCTCCTATTATGAGATTGCCTTCCGACGAGATTAAACCGAACTCCAGCCGATCAGTTTTTCGAATTCGTCTGAAATACTCGGATAAACATTATTCGTGATTGAATAGCGGGTAATCAGAATCGGACTGAAAACCCGCTGAGTGACCCAGAGATAGATAAAACTAAAGCGAGCTGTTGATAAAGTTAATTCTATTCCAAAAACCAGACCAAAGAAAATCAAAAGCGTCAGTGAGTTAGTTGCCGATTTTTCGTTGTCAACATGTCATTGATTTGGACATTTTTTTATATTTCCGCCATTTGACCATTCCGATTTCTTCCATTTGGGTTCGAAAGATTGGGTGGAACCTCTGCTTCCTGATTGGCTACCTTAAGGCCGTAGCATGCTGTAAACCTATTACAGTCCAATCTCGTTGAAAGAGCAATAGATCATATTGAAGTCTTCCAGCCATTGGTCATTTCGATAAGATATTGCGCAAACCATGATGATTTCAGTAGCTGTATAAGCCTCACCGACGTGCCAACGTCCGTATTAGTTTCCCAGCTGACGCTTCTCATAAACAGAAATTTGTGAAGTGCATATAGAAATCCGTATTACGCAACGTTTTTTCTCAACTATTCTTCATCTTGCGTCAGGTGCTCAAGTTGCATAATTTTAACTTTGGTCGAAGGAGCGGCACCCAGCTCTTTCGATCTGAAGCGTGAGAGTTCGACTTAGTTGATTGCGTGATTGTATCCTGTTCGCTTCTTCATACAGAAGTGGAGAGTACCTCAAACGAAGTCCGCTGAAATTCTTTGGTTTCAAGTCAAAACTTGTTTTATCCGTCTTATTGAATTGGTCTTTGACTCTGTGCAAACCAACATCGTTCATCGTCACCTTCAGTTTCGAACAAAAAGAAGAGCACTGTCTTAAATTTAAGAGGGGATGGTGGCGTGAAATCGATGCTGTTTGTCTGGGTTTTGTCAAACGTTGCCGCTGATGGATACTTTCCGTTCCAAAAGACTTGAAGCACATGAGGTAACAAGCGGCAGGCAGGTTTATTATGCCACAAGATTCAAAGAGTGGATTTACTTTGTTGACATTCTGTGTTTACTCAATGTTACTGAATTGAACGAATCTAAGTTATCGGATAAAATGCTGCATTCTGATTGATCCATTCTTTGTGCGTATCCCAGTAAAATAGAACACCTGTACTAGTTTACGCATTTCTCTGGTGCATCTGATAATCGTTCTCACTGTTTTGTAGTTTTGTTTTTGCTGACGGTATTCGGGAGTTGCTTTGAGGGCAACATTCGTTGGTAAACTGGTCGACACAATGCTTATGCTTATGCCTTCAGCTATTCTAGTGTCAACTAACTCCAACCCGATATACACTTAAGTGAAAGAAAAGATGTTTAGTCCAGTAAAGCCAAGTTAATAGTTCCATCATCTTCCATTCACACATACTAATGTGGTGTGCACGAAAGTACCGTACGAACGAAGTATATAAGTAATTCATTCAGAATCGACTGCGAGTAATCAGTCAGGTTATTGATCCTGAGTATTCTAATTATTACATTGTTTGTACGTCGTGCTTTTTAATATATAATCGCTCAAAGGGGACGCACTTCAGTTAGTTCATCGATTGTCCGATGTTGCGTGTTTTTGTGTTTACGTTGTTATGACCAACTCAAATCTAGTAGTATCTTAAAAGACACTGAAAGAATTCATTCTGAGTCAGCTGATGCAGTTTTGCCTGAATTACATTTTAAGGTATCAGTGAACAAAGTCATAATGTGATGGATGGTGGTACAAAAAGGGTCCCGGCTAGCGAACGAATCCAGAATAGAGCCGATCTAACCAGGTGCACAGTCATATTGGCTGGAAGCACTTCGGGAGACAATGTGGACTACCACTCAAAACGAACGAATCGACAATCACAGCCCGACGGACAATCCGCATCTAACCAGAAAGATATCCATCGAATACCACAACGTCCGAGCTGTCGATCAACGAATCTCGCGCTGCGATCAGGTCAAACCAGTCGGAACGGCACGCGGAAGGAGATGAAGTATATGTGACAAGTGCGGATCAAAACCAACAGGAATGGACCAACAGAATGAGGTACGAATCATCCGCGCAGTTGATTGATAGTATATAATCGAACGCATACATCGGTTGTTTTTGAACTGGATCAATGAACGTTTTGCCAGTCGACTCGCCTTCACGTTACAATAGGATCAACGATTCGGTCGCTCGGAGCAAGGCCAGAGAGAGCACATTTCGTGATCGGGTAACGAGTAGGTACGCACCGCGATGCAACTTCAGTCTCAATTAGACTCAATTGGATTTCTTGAATGCCATACAGCACCCGTAGAGACCACAGTGTTATCCATTGGACATGCAGGAATAGGCCAATGATTGTTCTACGAATGGCATGTTTATTAGCATGATTATCTGGAAAACAATAACTGTATCGACAGCTCGTTTTGATTTCACCTGATTCTGCGCTATTCAAAGGATTTTAGTGTCCGTCCGAGTCCGTGCTGTTTGATTCCGATTACAAAAGGTGATGATGATGAAATCTGTTGAACCAGTTCTGGTTTTTGTGTCCGTTTTCAGTCGTGATGTTAGTTGACGGTTTCTATCCTGAATGATTATAGTTGTTTGAGAAACCATTTCCACACAGTGCTGAAACTGGCCCGTATCCAAGATTAAACGGATTGCTAGGTTTCGTTTATGTATTCATTTCAACCAGTATAATTAATGTATTCCGTTCCAACAGAACTAACCTTTTTCAAATGCTTGTCCATCAATTCACTCGTTTTCTATGTAATAATACGGAACGACCATTCATTTGTGATAGGCATTTTCAAAATTCGACTGGATGCAACAAACGTATCATTAAAAACCGGAATAAAGAGAACAATGATAGATTTCGCAGTACTTGACATTTAAGCGAAACCCGCATCGCTAAAGTGTATTGAATTAGATGAGGGATTCAGCATTGGAAGATATCACAACAAGAGATGAAAGTGTTGTATGTGAATGTCACATTTATTAGGTACACAAAATTCATTTTATTCAGAAAAGGTTTGGTTTGTTTTGATCCTCTTTCTATTCAGGAACAATTTATTTAGGTTTTGTATTCGAAATTCACAGGCAAAAGTATAAGCTTTCCCATAAAGTGGATCAAGCATGAATTCGGGTACAATACCGTTCCTGTCTTTAGAAAAACGCGGTAGATTAGAGTTCACCGGTGCTGATTCTTACGTGTCTCAATCTCTTGAATACATAATTGTCCAATGGCTATTAGGTGAGCAATGGTGAATATTGCTCCATATAAAGACTTCCGATGACCACTTCGTACAAATATCGGCATTTATTCTCAGAATTAGTCAATACACTCATCAGAGGCATCCAGTCATGCTTCCATCTCGAGCGACAAAACAGAAGTGTTGACCCAATGGGAAAAAGCAATGAGACCTCCAACTCAAGAGCCAATAATACGCATCAACTCATTATGTGTGACTTATTCGAGGTTGACGGCGTTTATTTCAGAACTGTACTTACACGGACTTGTGTACAGAAACTGTCGAGTCGTTCGATGGCACGAAGACTACAACGATGGGGACAAAGCGAATACAAAAGCCCTGGTTGAACAACTGAAGAAAATGGTGAGTCAAAAGCCCAGGATGAACAACTGAAGGAAATGGTGTCACAAGCACTATGTGTTTCATTCCCAGTAGGTAATGGACTAATGAGTGGCCGGTGTTATGCATGAGACAATGCGCAATTGAGCAATTGATGTTCCCGGAACTCGCTGACGTCTCGCGAGTCTGTACACAATAATTGTGTGAGCCACAATTAGCCAGGTGTGAAATGAGATAAACTGCAATCAGGCGGTTTAACCTTACCCAGTGATTTGGAACAACCACTAGAATGCTGCATATATCGCGCGAACTCATAACTGGTTTGCAAGTATACGATTTCGAATCTGCTGCACGTTGTCCTATCAGGTTGCATATGGTAATAACTCTATGTAAATTTACTAGCCTGTCAAATAAAACTCTCTGATGATATAACGAACAAGGTGATGTTTATAACCAGGATCACAATTAGCCTCGCTCGCCATATTCATACTTTTCACCAGATATGTGTTCTTTAGAATTCATAAATCTGTATATCTGCGGGCTCGTTAATGCTGTTTACTTCTCCACCACAGGTGTCTGATGGACTGCAGCGTATGGCGAGCAAATATTTCCTATCAGTAGACGATACACGAGTGGAACTGTTCGATGTTTGTTCGGCCGTAGGTGCTCTGGTGGAGGTCAGAGCTGGGACTGAGGAATTTCTATTTGATGATTATTCTGATATGTTCCTAATGCTGAGAGCAAATGTTGCTGTTGCTGGTTCAGAGCTAATTTCATCTGACCGGTTCACATTTTTGACACTGGGTGATCCGGACGTTTACAAATGTATAAGAAATCGTTATCCGCATTGATACGGCTTTATGTACCCAATTTATTTTTCCCTTTGTGTCGGGGAAAACGCTCTTCTCCAAAACTCTTCACTCTACTGCATCATTTGATTGGATTCCAGAAGACATTGAGTGCTCCATTTATCTTTGTTTCATCCACAATTATTTGTATTTGGTATTCGTTCGAATAAACAATCAATACGTGTTCTCAATTCACACGAGCTGTTCACTTGTTCTAACCACATTCTCTTCCGTTGTCAAGTTGTAACTCTCAGCCAATATGCGGAATTTTGAATTATCTAACGCCTACTCACCCTCCACTGTAGTCTTGAAAGGAACAGCAACAGGGTTTGAATCCTGTTCAGACGTGTTTCACATTAGCCACACCGGCCTCACCAGTAATATTCTCCGTCCAATGGAATGTTGTGGGAGGGGAAAGAGCGTGTATCGTTTGGGAATATCTCAATTGCTACCGTGCTGATCCGGGTTTCGACCTACAATGCAGTTGTTTGCTGAAGCGGGAGATACGCGTCGTAATATTGCAGAGTACTGCTAAGGGAGCTGCAATGTTTCACTAAAAGACGAGATATATTTCAACACACCAACTCCGACATAACTCTGTATTGTTGGATAGTTTATCTGTGATAAATTGGATGACGTAAGGTGATCTTTAGCTTAGTCTGCGGCTCGGAACGCCAATTGAAACTGATGATGTTGCATATCCACTCACCGGTGTCGTTCATTCAGCGTCCGTGACGGGGACATCATCACTATCACCATCGTGGTCATTCATCCTATGATAACGCAGAACACAAATGCGAACTGTGGCAAAATGTACTGCGATTACATTACATTACGTGGGTACAGAAACGTGTTAATCAAGGAACGCGTACGGTACGGAAGAAACTCTAAACAGACTAATTGACGTGCATTCGTAGATGATACACTTTCCAAATCTCGAGTCTTTTCTTGACCTGAATGTATTTAATGTATTTAGACGCTTCCTCATCGGCGCCTCTAGTCACACGACACGGAAACTCACCCCCGTGATCTACAATCACTCGGATCATCGATTCTTCACTGGGAATCGTGTTTATCAGTCCCGTCGGCGTCATATTCAGCCCTTAAACCTAGCTGGACTATGAAATATATTTAATCAAAGTGGTTTATGAAATTGGAAGCATAGTTTCCCCGTAACGAACTTGAATACAGAAGCCAAAAACACAGGTTTGCACAATGTATCCTGGATCATTTGGCTTCATCTGTTATTTACTGAACATATATTAATGATCACATAGACTGCAGTATGCACGTGTACAGATGCAGCGAACTGATCCAGGATACATTGTGCAAATCTGTGTTTTGGCTTATTTATTCAAAACTGGTTTATCTCTACTTGAACAAAATGACCCTCAATCTATTCTGATAGCCTGACACGATATTTTCAGTTTTATTGTGATACTTGCTGCCCATGAGAAACTGTATGCGTACGGCTAGACCATTTCTCGTCCCCTTACCTTAAACGATCACGTTGGAAGAAAGAATAAGCTTACAAAACCGAAAAGCACTTCTTGGTGAGAGATATCTTGAAACCACTGAAGGTGGAACTGCGGAGATCGAATGCAGCTTATGCGCATACTCTGTTGGCAAACAGGACTTATTGCGATACAAGAAAAATGTTTTTTCATTTCTGGGCTATGAAAACAAAGAAGAATTTCTCAGCTGTCAACGTGGACTATCTCAATCGCCAACTCGGTAATGCTGAAACCGACACTCTTCTTCATTCCCCTTAATGCTTTTAATTTAATTCCGAATCAAACAGAAATTTTTAAAACTTTCATCAATCTTCAGTGTAATGAAGCATGCGGTCCCAATAGACTGTCACCTGTGGTGCTCAAAGAATGCACAATGTCCCTTTCGTCAACTTTTACCAATTGATCAGTCTGCGATATACCCAGCATCCAATGTCAAACTGCTGGACAAGGGCCTCTATAGGGCCATTATCCAAAAGGAGAATGTTTTACTTCCGAATAACTGGAACTTCTTTCGGTTTGAAAGTTGTAGAGAAGATTTTATTACAGAAAATATTTTCCCAGCTAGATGTACCTGACCCCCACTCAATTTGTCTACTGCAGGTCAATCCAGGTCAACCCTCGATGCGCTGTTATCCCTCGGTCATTATGTCATTTCTTCTTCTTCAGACAGAAATTGTAAAGCCGTTTGGCTTTGTTTCTTTATCCGTAGTGATACCTTCACCTGTGTTAATAAGGCTAAAGTTCCTTGTACTCTCTAAGAGAAGGATATTCAACCGAAGCTTACCAATCTATTGCCTCATTACTTCTTCTATTGCCTACATTGTAAGGCTCACAAATCTTGACTCCACTTAAGTTCTTCAAGCTGCTATCCCCTCTCTTCCTGTTCCCAAATGTATATCTTCCATGCCTGATTTCCATGGTTGATTGCTCATTAAGTATGCCGATGATATTGTGTGTGGCATAACATTTCACTGATCACCGACTGGTCTTCATCTTACAAACTTAGAATGAATTCTTCCAAGTGTAAAGATGTCTTATTTTCTTTTTATGGAAGATGTAAAGGACATTGACATGATGAATTCTTGTCAGCATGTCAATACCAATGGGGAACAAGTTTCATTCATCATGTCTATTATCCGTTTGACAAGGCCATATACTATAACTTACTTAATAAAACGTGTTGTATTCCTTTGTATCCTTCGCCATTGGCTTTATGCATCCCCAATTATTTACTCGGGTCTTTTGATCAAGACTTCAAACTCATACGTACATCCATAAAACGCATGTGTCGATACAGCGGTATATCTTGCGAACACATTGTGCAGTTTATAATATACAACACTTCAAGGATTGCCAGAGACTTCCTACTAGAAAACGTCTCGATTTATCTCACCCCCTGTAAGTAAGTGTATCGCTACATCAACCACTAGCGCCAAATATAATCACATTACAGCAAGCAGCACAACACACACGCCCTCTGTGGTACCTTACCTCGCACGAATTCTCACCAACGCCGATCTTAGCATTAAATGCCTTGAACTAAAACTGTCGAGTTTACTTAATTTGTTTGTAAAGACAGTCTATCATCATTCGCTTCGTTCCACTCTGCCATTTTAACAAAATATTAGTGATCGTCTAGTAGCCGAATACTCATCCCCATGAACCTGCCACTTCCGGAATACTGCCCTAAGGTTAGCCTACAGTATCACCTCAGGAACGCCCATTCCTCATGTATTTTCAATGCGCCGTTTCATCAACTCTCGGCTCTATTCAGTGGTATGGGATATCCACACATTTGTGAAAAATACAGGGATTGCGTTATGACATCANCAAATGCACAGAAAAGTTTGTCACAGAAACGAATGAGTAAGGTTGTTTCACCGAAAAGCGGAAGACGGTGACCAGTTGCCTCATGGATTCTCTATTTAGTTGGTCTTAGATATGCTTTTGGGCACATAGGTTGGGCGTTCTGTGTGAAATTATGGAACCACCAGCACTGATATTCACAAAATTCTTCCGTTGGACTCGGGATTCAAAAGCAATGTCCTTCTGCATTGAGCAGCAGAACTAAATTCTGGTCGACTTACCCATGAAGTTCAAGAACGGCTTTTTAAATTCCAAATTTCTCTACTGTTTTTTTTCACAAGACCAACTGTTGTCGTATCACCTGAATCAAAATTGAGATTCAAATGAGTAAAGCTTTCACTGGAAATACAAGCTACTTCCTTGTATGTCATCCGAGAAACACACTTCATAGAAGCCTCCTCTTTGGGGCAACAATCAAACTAAAATCCGAGGTTGTTTGTTTCTGTGATAAATTAAAGTTGGGTGTCGAAGTATTTGAATCTGTGTTGAGGAACAACAATTCGCGATGTTCATCCAAATGATGAAATTTAACGGCTTGAAAAAACGAACTAGATGTTCAACCTTAAAGCCGTGCACTTCTTTGAGACAATCTTTGAGGATGATTATAACACAAAGGCAACTCATTATTGTATACAAGGACTGAAAGATTCATTAATTCTTAAGCTCCGATCCCATCCTGATGCAGCTGGTTCACAATCGGAGAGACAAGCATATTGCGACGGATGCATTCCCATTTGAGAAACAACATTTGCAAGACAAACACCTCTAATCGTAAAATTCTTTCGCGAGACGTCCATCTACTGCTCACGAATGTTCGTATTAGTGACTGGATTGTATACCTGTGTAGTTGCGTACGAATTGATAAATAAGACCTAAAGGTCCCTTTGTCTAATACAGATGAACTGCTTTGATCTTTCACCTGCAGAGTACGATTTAAGTTTCACGATGAAATCAATCGATAAAGGCGCGAAGGGTTTAGTTCAATAATTCAGCTCTCTGATGACAGTTTGAGGAGAACCAAGGTTAGGCAGAAGTCATTTTACATAGGATTTTAGTTCCTGAGGGACATATTGGCCAAACGCATGCACCCGAGGTTGTCCAGCAAAATTGGTAAGACGCACTGTGTAGTGAAGCTTCATGTGCTGTTCACGTCAAAGCCAACTGTTTGCGACTGGAGGATATGGGGGGTGATGATGAAACGACCTAGTTATGGCCTCCAGATGTTGGCCTTTCGTTTTCTCACTTTTACGGAATATAAACCCGTCACACCAAGATAGTAAGAAAAGCTTCTTCAGCAGAAGGTAATCTAGACCTCTAGATTTCACCATCTGCAATTGAAGGATGATCATCCATAATCTGAGACATCCACTCGGCAATCGTGAGGCTGTCGTAGGTAAATCACACTGAACATGACCGAAGCATTTTTACACCTATCTGTGGTTCGTAGTCGATTATCAAGACAAATTCGCATTCATCTACTAGCCGGAACAGGAGTGGGAGAATTAAATGTACATGGCCCCTAAGTATCAGCCCCGTCTGCCAGACTGAACAGCCCAGCACTTGAGCTGTCATGAGCCAACTCAGCTTTGTCTAAGCAGAAGATTAAATTAACCTCAGGTTTTT